CGACGGCCGCCCCCTCCACACCCCCGCGCCGCGCCCCGGTGCCTGGAGCAGCAGCCCGGGCTCAGCCCCGGCCTCCGCAGCGAGTGTTTAGGACAGATAAACAAATAAATAAAAGGAACCCGGAGGGAGAAAGCGCGTCGGCGTTTCGTCCCCGGGAAAGCCGGCCTCAAGTCAGGCAGTGTGCGAGAAGCTGCGGTTCATTTTGTAAAGAGAGGTGGTGTTATGTCAGCTCGTCGATGAGGAAACCGAGGCACGAGGACCCGTTAGCCCTAGGAAAGCTCCAGCCCTCAGGAAACTTTCGAAATCGAGAGTACTGTCTCATCCAGCCCACCTCCCTCCTAGCTGGGTACCCGGGCCCAGGCAGGGACTCGAGGCCAGCCGCAGTGATTTATGCTCGCGAGCGAGTAATACCGTGTGAAATGATGGCCACTTACGCCGGATACCTGCGTGCTTGCGGTGAGTTATGAAGCAGAGGGTCAGAGGCCACCCATCTTTAATACCAGCAAGCTGCAGGTATCCAGTGTAACTGCACCTTTGAAGCACATTATTGCCGAGACAAAAATGTATTTATTTCATTTATTGTTACAGCTGGTTTGCTGGTTAAAACGCTGTGGTGGATTCTACCTTTCACTGACAAAAGCTTTCTTCTCTCGGGTGTCCATTAAAATATGCAATAGTAGTGTTGTTTGGGTTTTAGAGTGCTTAGAATTACGTTTTAGGGGCAATGATGTGTCCTTTCCCTTTTGCTCAGGTTTAGTACTTATAAGTGTACTCACATGGAGTTATACTGCTGGCATTACACTGTGTTCATTTTTATGGAGGCAAATAAACGATAACATATTGCACTCCTCCCAGAAGAGCCATACCAAACAGCTCTACTAGGAAACCGTTTAATTTTTTTTCTTGCTTCTTCCTTGCCTTAATCCTCCCATCTACAGAGCATGAAGGTATAAAGTGAGGAACTGATCTTCCAAAGAGTCTGGCTGCGTCTGGGCCTGCGGTGAAACATTCCTACTGACCTTACCTTCTACATCTCCTGATTTTATCAGGAGACACTGTTCTGGATGCGGTCCTCCTTGCTTTTTCCATTTTCAGCAAATCTCTCAATTTTCTCACATTTCTTGCTTCCTCTTATCTTGATTTGGGACTTGACTGATGCTATTACAGCCAGTGGAAATATTCATTCCAGCAGCCCTCGGAAGAGGTCTATATTCACATAGCTGCTCTCTGAGGTCAAAATAGGAGGAAGAGCACTGTACGTCCCTCCTTACCCTTTGTGACTGTCCTCCAGAAAGCTCACACTTGTCCCACCATGTCTTTTTTACATGAACTTCCCACACCTGTGTGGGTCTTAATGGTTGCCATTTGCTTTGAAGACTCCAGTGATGTCAGTGGACCACAGCACTCTCCCTCTCAAAAAAAACCCCTTCTTTTCCATGTATTATTAAGAAAGTTGGTGCACTGTGTCACATCCTACTTTGCAGTATCCATGAAGATGATGCTGTTGATCCTTTCTGTGAGGCAGGATACTGTGCAAGTCTTGAAGTTCTTCATTTTTTTCCCTATCTGATGTTGAGGACTTCCTTCCCTTGTCCTGTGAGGCAGAGGAATCCACTACTTACAGTGACAGTCTTCAAATGGGTGGTATAACATTACTGAAAGTGTGTTTGGAAAGGAAAGCCTTCCATGTAACGTTACACAAAAGTTACTCATGAAGAGGAAAAGATGCGCAGTAACTTTTCACTCGAGGCATGGTAAAATATGCCTAGTGGGGCTTCCACTCTTTATGACATTTATGAGGATTTTTAAAAATTTTATTTGCATAATTGCATAAAAGCTAAAGAGGGATGTATAAAGCACGCAGCTAGGAAGAATTTCAGTACTGCTTAGTGTTAAAGGCAGACTCCTTCCCTCTCATCAACAAGCCATAAGCCAAAACAGTTTCAGAAGATGTCCTATTTTCCAAATTTTCAGCTTTGGCAGGACAAAAGGAAAGGAGCACAGCAGGAGATCAGATACTGCTGCTGCCAAGCATTAAGACATTACCAGTGGTTTTGGATAGTGGAAAATAAATATCATTATGTGTGACTTTCTCTAAGGCCAAATTACAGTGATACAGGGTTCGTTTATACTCCACGTCAATTTCTTAATTTCTTTTCCTTGAAAAAGTAGAAACAACGTGTTTTATCCACCCTGACGCACATGTATCGTCAGGACGAATTGAAGAAATCCTTGTTCTAAACAGGCACTAAAAGTTGCTTGAATATCTGGTGGCAGGATGCAGGAAGTTGACACTGAAATCATCTGAGTGGAGTCAGAAAGATGCGTTAGCATGTTTAATGTAAGTTGCTACAGAGACATGGTGTCTCCAAGAAAGTCATTAATAATCAGGTAGTCGAGAGGGGAGTTATGCACCTAGAAGATAGTCAAACAGTGCAAACAGGTCGGATCCAAGGGCCTGCCCTGGGTGCTAATTGACATCATGGTTCGACATCTTCTCTTGAAGCCCTCAGTTTTCCTGTCAGATGTTTTCTTTCTGACTTGAATGGTAAGATGCTGGATTTGTTTAAAGTGTACTCACATGCCAACATGTTTTGGGTTATTTTTTTTTTTCCTATTTGAGTTCCTTTCCTGTATGATCTCCAACACCAAACTCCAATGCAGCCACTGAGATCTTTGGATATGCCAAAAACACAGGGTTTCTTGATGACTGGTTTTGAAGAGGAAAGAAAAGATGTTGTGGTGATACCTCACTTTCCAAACTAGCTGTGGAAACAACAACAACAACAAAAAACCCCAGCATGTACTTGCTGCCTTTTATTCATCATGCCTGGGAATGACTGTAGGAATATTTGCTGCATAATAATCTTCTCTCAGGACTAGCCAGAAACCTTTTCCCTGGGGTCCTGCAAATCTCATCCTCTAGCCACCTCTAATTGACGTGGCTAAGCGAGTAAAACTCCTCTGCAGTTGCGGCTTAACCCAAAAAAAGAGTCGTTTTGCGACAGGGATTATATTGTTAAGGAAAAGCTTTAACCCTCCAGCCAAAAGGCCCCATTTTTTGCCAATACAAGCAGGGTCCCCACTAGGGGCTTTGTCCTGCAGCTGCTCTGGTGTGCTGCGGTGCCTGCAAGGGCTCTTCTACCCTCCTGCCTTCCTGCCCTTACACTGCGTGACGTGACATGTCAGGGGTGGCATGGGGCGAGTTTCATGCACAGGATGCCTTCTGCAGGGACACCCATCAGAGTAATGCACGACTCAGGGCTTGCTTGCGTGCTTTCCTTCTGCTAAGATCCATAATCGATGTTACGGGTAGCGAACTTGAACAGACTAGCACTGAGTAGGGGCACGCACATTTCCTGCAAGACTCGAAGGCGTAACGATTTTGGGGGAAATTAGCTTCCACATGTAATTTTAAAATATTTTTGTATTGCTGAGTGCGTCATTTTTGTATGGTACAATGTAAAAGACGATGACAAGAAATGGTGCTTAGAAAGTGTGTCTAAAACTGGAGAATGCAAATAGAAGCTGTATTTTGAAAATGCGGCTTTTATTATCCTTTTACTGAATAGAGACGAAGGTTTTCCTTCGAAGGCTCTGTAGGAAAGAGGTCTACACAATACACAGTATATCCACCTTCAAAAAGAAGGACAGCTGAGTCAGTACCCCTGAGAATTGAAACTGTGGTTACAGGCAAACTAGCAAGGCTAAATCTGTGGCTTAGAGCAAAAAGCTCCAGCTTCTATAGCGATTACTGTGCTTTATTTTTATAACAATGGGTATAGGTTGTATAAAATTATTAGGGAAAAGATCTAGGACTTGCTATGTGAGTGCTATGGCATAGTTATTGTGTTTCCTTTGTATTTCTGGAATAAATTTACAGGAAAACTTTTACTGTGCTACAAAAGTGAAACGTACAGAAGACGGTAACCTATTTCAACAGATTTATTGTTATGTTAACTCAGCATACCTTCAAATAAATGGATTTCCTAAGCATGAAACGTTTTCCTAGAAGTTGTGCATTCATGGCATGTGCAATATTGTGCGGTGGAAACATTTAACCAAAATTTTCTTTGCTCAAAGTGGAAAAATCACAGTAGGATCTTCGCAACATAGAGAAACATTGTCCATTATTAAGAGCAGTTAGGGAGATGAACATTTTTACAAACTGGTCTTTTTCGTGGGAGCTGCTTGAAAAATCAGACATGCTGGTTTTGTTCTTAACCTCAGCTACATGTAACAGGCACGGAGCATGCATTCTCATCAATAAAAATTTTCGAACGTGTGCTAGGAATCACTAATATTTGCTACATAATTTCAGTTTAAAGATTAGATTCAGCTGCAAGAAAGTAAATGTCCGTGGGTGCTCCGACTTGTCATTCATGAGGTTCTGTTTATTTTATTTTCTAAGCAGACAGGTGTGCACACACGTTGGTGTAAAAAGCAGAGCAAACGTTAATTTAAAATAAGGATGAAATTAAATCCTATTCCAGTTAAACCCTTGGTCTGATCTGTGGTAAGGCAAACAAGGGAGACTAGTAAGGAGTTATGACTGTGCTTTAAAATGTCTCACCAAAACACATGGGGATGGTTTAAATGGGCTATTTATATTAGTAAAAAAAAGAATTTGAAAAAAAAGAGTATTGGCAGGTTTGTGAGTACACCAGGCTTGCAAAACATCTGCAGGGTTTCTGCTCAGCCTTTGGGATTTCTTGTTAAGCGCTTTGGGGAGGTTAGGAAAACCATCCTAAGCAACGTGCAAAAGGGCATGGTGCGTCTGAGTGTCGAGCTGCCGTGAAATGACAGGAAGGGCAGGGGGATCTGCCTGTGGCAGTGATGGCAGTGGTGGCCAGCAGCACCACACTGACGGCGTTTTTCCCTCTTCACCCCGCAGGATGTGACATGTGTGCTGATAACCGCAACGGCGAGTGCCCCATGCACGGCCCTCTCCACTCCCTGC